ATTAGAAGAATCACATTTATTTTGAGGAAATAAAGAATATTCCTATATGTTTTAAAATGCACACGATGTGTATCTGTGGGAAAACAACTTAAGATGGATTTCTTTCATACTCCAGTCCATGGCCTTCTTTGAGTTTGTGATTTCTGTTTTATAGTCATGACTACTAACTCACTTCATAGATAGTAACTGAAACCCACTAGCTTCCTGTTTGTTTTTTCTTCTGAAGAATATTTATTACTAAGACTGCTAACCCATAGTAGACATATGTGTCATGCCTAATGTCTCAGAAATTTCCTTGGTCACCACTAGCTCACCTCATAAACACACACAAACATCCATAAACTGCATGTTCAATAAAATACCTCTAAGCTGTCCTTTGCAGAGAAGTAGTCATTCTTGGGGACATTCCTGGGTACTTAGCCCAAGAGCACTGCAATGTGGATTAGCTTCTGAGCCATGAAGTAGTCTGGCTTTTCACTAAAACAACCAGACGTGCTCTCTTTCAGATGTTTGGTTTTTAAAAGATTTTTAATTTTATATTTGTAAAATTCAATTTCTAAATTTTTATGAGTTTGGCCAGATAATAATGAGAATAGAAGAGACAGCCAGAGAGAAACAGAGAGGTAAGATGAGACCATGTGGGCCCTTAAGAAAAGGTATTAGTATTCCCTAAATCTGCCTCTCTGGTTAGGTGATTGTTTTCTTTCTGAATATAAGTATTAGCCCAAATTAGATTATGTTGTTATAATCAAAAGAGCCTCATTTACTTTTTTTACATCTTAGGGAACTGTCTTATGCCAAGCAACTCCTCCTACTCAGTGGCCCCTTGTTCCAGTTTTCTGTAGCAGGTCCTATGACCAGAAATCCACAGGAGTGGGCTTCATGAGTCCTTTAATGATAGCAGTGTTAAAATATAACCCAATAAATGAGCAAAACAAGCCAAAGTAACCCAGAAATGGTTTAATAAATTTCTTAAATACAAAAGGTTTTTTCTTAATTGACCCAGTGCTACTGGTCAATTTTAACCAAGTAGTGAGAACACAGTGTTGGCATTTAAAGAATGGTTAAAGAACTTTTTTGGGGGACTCATCCCAATTCTAAATCTAGGTTAACATCATCCATGGTGATTTTCAGATGTATTTTGATAGTTTATGCTGTGTTTGCCCAGTTTGGTCACAGAGCTAAATATTTTACTAGTTTTATTTTATTTTTTTAATTTTACTAGTTTTAAGATTTATGTACACATCTCCAGAATTCTAGGATTTGTGTGTCAACTTGTTGAGAGAAAATCACTTACAGTTTCATCAGTTACTTTGGATATTGAGGCATGTAAGTACACCAGATTTGTGATTATCTAGAAAGACCTTGAGGTTTATCTTCCAAGGATTTCTGCCAAAGCTTAAAGTGTGTTTCATATTATTGTAAATACTTAAGAACTTCCTCTGGAATTGGACCTTCATTTACACCAACATATCTGTAACTCTGGGCAATCTATGACTCTAGGAAACTTAGGGCAGGTTAAAAAAAAAAAGAAATTAATCTCCATTTACTCAACTTACAAGTCTGGTTTGAGTCCGAGTATTTTACTTCCTTAAAGAAAGATTTGTCTTTATCTTGTTTGGTGTTTCCTTATGATTAGGTTCAATTTATGTTGTTATCTTCTAATATCAGTTAAGAAACTACTGGTAATACCGTGATCCCTGAAGGGCCTGACAAGTTGGTTCTTACAAATCTCCTTAACTCCAAAAATTCCATGATATCAATATAGTTTAAATTCTCTTCAACACATTTTCACCTCCTGTCCAGCTGACTGCACAAAAAATAAGCAAATTGTCTATATTTTGCTTGTAATTCCTGCATACACTCTAAAGGTATGGTCAAGAGTATAAAAACTATAACATTGGTTATTTCCTTTGTCATGTTATGACATGAACCCAACTTGGAAAACTCACAGCAATACTTGCCTGATGAATGTGGACACTAGGCATACTAACGTGCTTTTGAAACATGAATAAACCTATGAAAGCTTCTTTGGTCTCTTTCATCATATCTTTTCATCATCTCTTTTCATCCCCATCATCTCTTTGATCAAGCCTGTCAGCTTTTTACTAGCAAATATTTATTTCATTATCCTCTTCTTAAAATATTGCTAAAATTTTCATTCTGCACAGGGAGTCAGGTGGCCACAGTTGATCTGCCTTAGAATATTTCTTTGCAGCATCTAGCTCCTCTTACTTCCCACAAGCTTTTGTGGACCAGTTTCTTGCATCCTGAAATTCTTATTTGCCACAGTATAATGTCACTACCTAACCTCACCCAAAATAGAAGCAACAGACAAAAGCGATACCTCATATGCTGACAATTTCCTATAACCTATACAAAGCCAGATGATAAAATCCTAAGCAACCTAAAATAAACAAATAATATACAATTTTGCCCACAAACCCAACTTGATTCATGACTAAAGTGACAGCAGAAACACTATTTTAAAACTAGCTCAACTGGTATGTTGCTATGTGTGATCTAGGAATTCTGATTTCTCTGTATTTTCTCTGGCTCATGACATGGCTCTCTCCACAACTGTGTAATAATGTAGAAATTTATCTTCTATGTTGGATCCTTACTTAATCTTTACTATTTTTCCTGTCTCTAGCTTAAATCATAATGTTTAGTTTTCATCTTGTGAGTTTCTTTACTATTTTATCTTTTGGTCTTTACTATTCCTTGGGTTCTCCTAACAACTGGGCCCAGCTCAAGGGGCATAGTTTATAATTCCTATAATCCACAGTCATTTCTTGAGGCTCTGTGGAGAAGACTTGGGAATGGACTTTAAGATTCTAAAGAGCAAAGATGAGGTAAATGTCAATTGACTTTTCTGTTTTTAAGGTACCCCAAATCTGCAGGGTTCCTGGGCTGATAAAAAGTGATCTGATTTATCACCTCTAAGGCTAATTTTGTCAGCCATGGAACAGATATCTGACCAGTTTCCTGGTAGGGCTTTATGGGCATTGATTCCACACATGAAGTATAATCCTTATTCATTAATGATGAACTTGCTATGCCTTAGTAAATGAGACTATTCTCATATATGGGACTCCAGAAAATGCAAGAAATTTGGTTGTATAATCAGTTTGTTCAGTTATATCCTAAGAAAAGGAAGACCATTTTTATTGTACCTATACAAATAACTACATTGTTATTAATATGGCTGAGAGAGAGAGAGAGAAAAAAAGAGAGAAAAGAGTAAAATAACTTATTGCTGAATTCTGAAGGACAGGGAGAACAAGAAAGCATTTAAAGAATGTTCTACTAATTTAATGATTAAAGAATATTAAGAATAAAGCGAAAGCATGTTCAACCTAGGTTGTATCTTTCTTCATCACTTACAGATGATTTTCTCAGGTTTCAGCGTTTATATGTCAGCTTAGAGGTTTAAGCTTCTGAGAAGTTTTCACCTTCTAGACTGGGTTGAGCCTCCATCATGTGTACTTCTATTGCACTGCTTACCCCTGATTAGGTCCATTAGAACATTATTTTTAATAACAAAAATTGAAAATAACTTAAGTGACTAATGGAAGAGGATGTGTATTTCATTTCAGGCAATAAAATGTAGTAATTTTTAAAGATTTTATTTATTTATTTTAGAGAGCAAGAGAGAGCAGGGGGAGGAGCAGAGGGCGAGGGAGAGAATCAAGCAGACTCTGCGCTGAGCGAGGAACCTGACACTGGACTCGATCTCACGACCCTGAGATCATGACCTGAGCCAAAATCAAAAGTTGGACACTTATCCCACTGAACCACCCAGGCGCCCCTAAAATATAGTAATTAAAAATGATGATTTCAGTATATTCAATGGTGTGAAAATATGTTCATAAAAAATAGATTACATAGAGAAATTACATAAGGAAAAATAGATTATAAGAATATGGTATGCATAGCATGGTCACAGTTTTATAAATATCCATGTGTATACATAGGCATCAAAATCTGTTTTAAAGGCTCTAAACATTACTAACAGGTTATCACTTAATGACAAGACTATTGTTTTTATTTTTATTTACTGTCTAATTTGTATAATTGTCTAATTTTTATGAGATTTATTTATTGTCTAATTTGCATAGATTTATTTTTTCAAAAAGGGGCACAATAAAGGTTATTAAAGTAAATATTTCCTGAAAACAGATTGGTAATTTCAACAACAAAACATGATGACATTCAATAAAAACACACCAAGATGCTCTGCTACCTATCACTCTCAGTGTAGCACAGTCTTAAAATCTTGTATCACAAGATTTGTTTTTTCTGTTCAAGATAATGCAGTATCTTTTGCTTCCCCCTTTCTTCTAGGAAAGGCTAGATTAAAGGTAATCCTCATAAACAGACATTTTAAATTGAACCCACACATTCTCAAAATATTAATGAATTCCACACTCCCATTTCTAAAGACCAGACATATTTTTTTGTGTGAACACTTCACATTAGTGTTTTGAATTCTCTCTGGTGGGATGCTGAACTCTGAGCACAACCCAACTTTACCTGGTTAATTTTTCTGCAACTTCAGTTTATGTACCACAAACAAGAAATTGGAAACAAATTGGTTCATAGATTTTCTTAATTGAGTCTTAGGCATTCCATGTAATAATCAGATTTGTTCACACAATTTTATCTTGTCCAATTTTAAAGAGCCATTTAGATACAAATCTGAGATAAAAAATGCATCCTTACAAGGCTTGGGACTCCACATTTAGACTAATACAAAAGATAGAGAAGCCACAGTTTCTGGTGTTTTCATATAAGTACTGATACTTCCCCCCCCCCAAAATAATCTATTACGAAGGGAGTCAGGATATATATAACTAGATTGTTGCGATTCTTGTGGTTTAAAGATTGTTTAACTCTTAGATACACATAATTAATTTGATCTTTTAAAGTTACTTTTTTTTCTTTCTTTCTCAAAGATTTTATTAAAGGTCTTTACAGATTAAAATCCAGTCTCCGGATCCAGCTGCCAAAGAGACCCTGTTACGCTGTGGGTACCGGCTGCGACATAGCAGGCGGCTCTGGCTTCCCACCTTTCTGTTCCAGACGGGGGTGGTGGGCAGTATCTCGTCTTCGGGTTCCACAATGCTCCCATGATCCGGCAGGGGGCTTCTTAGGGCCAGTCTTACCACTTGGGTCCCAGGGAAGCATGACCTTCACTTTGATGCCCAGCACACCCTGTCTGAGCAGAACATGGCGCACAGCAGTGTCAACGTGGTAGTTAACAGGGTCCCCACTGTGAATCATCAGGCCATCCACAGACTTCACGGATTTAGCCCCCTGTCCTCGGAGTTTCCCAGATACCACGACCTCACAGCCTTCGGCCCCACTCTGCGTGATGAACCGCAGCACACCAGAGCGGGCCCTCCGCACAGCAAGGCCTGCTAGGAGTTTGTAACGCAGAGATTCTGCCTGGGCAATAGCACACACACCTCTTGTGGCCACCTTTTCGGCACAAAGCGCTACACTGCCCTCAGGGAAACCAAACCTCTTCTGAACCACAGCAGTCAATTCTCGGATCCGCCGGCCCTTCTCGCCAAGAACATTCTGCGTCCTGGTGGCCAAGATGATGATTTCTGTCCTGGTTGGGGTAACTCCGACCTCAGCCCCGGAGTAGCCATCTTCAGCCAGCTCCCGAGTGAAGAACTCATTCAGTTCAGCTCTGAAGACGCCATCAGCGACAAACTTCTTCTTCTTGGAAATTTGCACCGCCATTTTGCCGCCACGCGCCCCGGAAAGAGAAAAAAGGCTAAAGTTACTTTTTTATAATGTAAAATGTAGTCTTAGATTCTAAGTGATGCTACTAATCATGGATGCAAATGACTTGAATCTCTTAGCAGTCCCCTCCTCTCCCTACACAGATAGCCCATGGTACTCAGGGCATCCTTTTGCTGATCCTTTATATCTCTAGGCCCAATAGGTAGAGAGATCGAAAATAAAAGGAAATTGCTGTTTAATTTTCTTGTTGTTCCCATGTTCTCCTTCTTTCTACAACCTCCATGTTTTCATGCTGTGGCTCATTCTTTATATCCACCTCTGCAAATAACTCACCTTTAATGCAACTTATTTCTGGGTGTATTTTTTCCAATATCATTTTTGTTCCTTATCTGCACACATTCACCAGAGGTGTGTATATTGACCAAAGGTGTGTATATTCATGCAGGAATGGAAAAGGAAAAATTTGTGGCTCAAAAAGATTTTATTTGATTTAAGTTTACTTTTTGACTTTGCTTTTCATATAAAGTTAGATGATACCTATGTGAACTTCGCAAGGCTGCCTTCATTCAAAAAACACATTAAATGAATTTTCTCAGACAGGTCTTTTCTGACTATCCAAATGAAAAGTAGCCACTCTATTATAATTATCTGTGTAATATTTATTACTATATGACATGTTTTCTTATTTATCCATTTATTGTTTCTTGTTTATCTCCTTCCAACAAATGATAAGCTTCATGGTGGCAGAGACTGTATCTATCTTATTTACTACCTAAAAATGAGTTGGGATATAGTAGGTGCTCAATAAATTCTGAAGGTTAAATGAATGAATGAATGGATGGATATGTGTACAAACCTTCCTACCTGAGAATAGCAGTCACTTAGCTAATAGAATAGTGTTCAATGAATATAGCACATAAAGTTAAATAATCCTAAATCTGTACCCAAACCTGCCCTACAATTGTGGACTCAGTCAAAACAGGAGAATAGATATGATTAAATATTTTTGATAACTTATGGTCCAAAAAACAAAAGTTCATCATAACACATAATACAGTAGATATGTTCACCAACAGCATGTAAAATCTTGGTTCCAAATACAAAATTCTATAAAATAACAACCAAATGTGACTTGAGTAAGCTATTAGGTTAAAATGCATTGTTGCACTCCCACTAAGTCATCAACAAACCTGAAGAAGGTCCACAGCTCATAGCAGAACTTATGTTAAGAGGCAATGATTAAATAAAACAGAATCATGGGTCTTAATTCTGATTCATAAAAAGTGATTAACTATGCACCTAGACTATGAATACAGAATTTTTTAAAAATAAAGCCATCCTTGACATGCATGAAATATTAGTCTCCATGCCTAAATAGTTTAATAACAAAAACTTGATTGTATTTATTATTTGATAGCAATACAGCATATCTATTAAAAGCTATTGGATTTCCTGTAAATGTAGCTCTATAGAGTGATCCAAGTAATAAGCAACACAGTCAGTAACTGCCAGTTATTTAGTGTCACACTGCATTTCAACAAAAGCCATTATATCCTGTGTGACAGGAAAATGGGTGGAGGACCTTATAAATCAAACTTCCAGAAATCCTTGTTTACAAAGCTGACTTTTTGTATTACTGTGTGGCTGTCCAAAAGTTTTTCAGCAAGTCATGGCTTTTTTCTAGAAAATTTATCTTTATAAAACACATTGATAAGTCTTTCCATTTTTATAAACAAAACATCTAAAACATACACACACACACACACACACACACACACACACAGCATGAGAGACTCTTATCCAATTAAATGTTCCGGAATACAGAAAAAAATATATTAAGTGACAAATATTTTATAGTGGTTTATAATGCCTTGCATGTAGTAGGTGCTTTGTAAGTATTTATTAAACCACTGAATCAAGAAATTAAAGCAAATCTTCTCATATACTCTCTGCTAATTTCTGAAGACTTCTTGTAAGTTTCTGAATAATAAATATCTTCTTTAACAGATGTGACAGGTCCTACTGATAAACAGATTATTGAGATGTATAATCAGGTTAAATTGTAGTTGCAAACTAAATTTAAATAAAGAAAGGCTCTCTCTGTCACCAGATTTCTGCCCCGACCCTCTGACCTGCTGTGTTCTTCTATTGGTAATTTAGCTTTTTATCAGCATCCTCAAAATAAAACAAAAGCACAGATTTTTATTCTCTTTGTCCACCCCCAGATTTTTCACAATTGAAACAGTAGCCCCAGATTCCTATTCCTGCATGTGAACATTTCATGACCGCGTGTGTTCAGCTGCTTAGAAAACATACTCATTTTTTTCTCCAGTATTTTGTGCTATGAGAGAGCAGGTTGTGGGGCCGTTAGGTAGCACCAATCGCTCTCACTTCCCTTGATTTGTCTGCTAACCAACCAGATTTCCCCCTAACATGTCCCCTCCCTTACTCTCTATGTCCCCAACCCTTTCCCTACTCCAGCACTTAAAAGAAGGCCTCTCAGTTTGTGTTGAGAAATGAGCCGAAAATAAAAATCTGAATTTAAAAACAAGAAGGATTCAGCTGAGATTCTGTGATCCTTCCCTATGTGAATCTTGATAGACCAGATCACTTTTGAGCAGCAGAATCTCAAGGGTGGCTTATTCAATAGCAGAACAATCTAATATCCTTATTCCCTTTATTTGTAAGTTTCAAATTTTCTTTTAAAGCATTCTCCTCTTGTATTTTCCTCTTCAACTTTATCACTGTATTTTTGACATAAGGGAAAGACTACAGAAGGACATTTTTGCAGTAATAGCAATCATAGTATTGGTCATAATTGTTTTCATATTTTGAAACTATTTAATTCTTCTAGAGTCTCTTTGGATTAATGGTGTCATTCAGTGGAATGTATCAGTTAATTCCATGTGTTGGCCACAATTTTCTCCCTGACTTCCTAGAGAAGTGACTTTAAACAACCTTTAAAACATGGGGAAATAAGATTCATTAATAATTTTTAATTGTCTTCATATTAATTCATGTTTACGTGATATCAAACAGATGCATTTTTAAGGGTGATTCCAGTGCCTTTTTGCAAGAAGTTTTCTTTCCTAAAATTAGAACCAGAGCTGCACACAAACGTAACACAGGAAAGTTTATTTCAAATATATTATTTTCACAAGATTGAGGAGTGTATATGGTCTGAACCTCCAGTGTTAAACAAGACTGAATATTGAGTTTGGTTTCAAAACATTTTTATTTTATAGAAACAATATTTCAGAGTTTTGGACAAGGGTCCTTCTAGTCTCTATATTTTTATCTAACTGGAATATGCCTTCTGGTGCTTTGAGCACAACCAAAGTCCCTGGGAACTTCTGAGGAAATGCTATCAGTCTCGAGGTACGGGCCAATATGATAATCAAAGTCCTAATCTACTTGAAATTACCTGAGAGGGCTATAGCTCATCAGCGAAAATCAAACTCTGTATAAGAGCCCCCTGCTTCAAGGTTATGGCCCTGACTTTGATTCATCCTCATAAATTAACTCTGAGGCATGGAAAGCCTAAAATTAAAGGGACCTATTAGAAAATTCATTACCCCAAAGCACCACCACCAATAATTTGGAGCCTAGGACTTGAGAGCAGGGGTAAAGGGAGGCCTTGCCTCCTATAGTCAGGTGGCCCCACAGATAATTCATTGCACCAGCCTTTGTGGAAGAAATGCTTACTTAAGTAAGAGCACAAAGTTGTGAGAGGTCAGTTCACCTAGCAAGTTAGGCAGCCAGACTAATAAAATGAAACACTGGAGATGGTGGTTGGTTATTCTCCATTTGCTACCCATCCCCAGATTCATTCTTTGCCCTTTTCCACTTTTTTGTGTGTCCCAGGGGAGACTGACCCCTATGGATGGCACTACCTATGTCCCCTTGCCCTCTAGAGGATTAGGCCAATAGGAGCCTCAGGCAGGATGTTGGAGAAAGCACAAGAAAGGAGAAGGTAGATGTCTCCTGCTGCCCTTCCTGGCTATCTCTCATCCTAGGCTCTCTCCTCACCCCCACTCCACACTACTGGCCGCCTCCTTCTACAAAGACAGCTTCTATTGGACACCCACTCCCTTCCAAGACTCTTGAAAATGTCATCTCCTGGTAATGCCATCTTCTTCCTTTGTACCTGAAGGCCTAAGAGTGGGAATAGTCCATGGTTCCACATTCCTTGCTGGTTCCCCCAGCCATAACTGCATCTCTGTAAACAGCCCCTCTAATGAATTGTATTTGAACTCCAGCTGGCTCTAACTTCTATTATCTGCTGAAAGAGTGGGAGATAAATACATGCATACATATACATACATACATACATATATTTATATATGTGACCAGAGAGGCCTCATTCCTAGTGAGAGACCCTTGATTTCTACAGAAAATAACCAGACTACAGAAACTTCCCTTGAAGTAAGTAAGAAATAGAATTAAGGGAGAGGAAAGGAGAAAGAGGCAATTTCTTCTTTGCCTTAGTACAATTTTTTTTTTTAGTTCTTGATGTCTGATATATGTTTAAATAATAGATTCTACTTCAAATAAGGTAAAGTTAGATACTTTTTCTCATCAAAGAAATTCTAATTCTCAAATCACTTATATTTTTAAGGTCTAAACTAAGATTCATTAATATAGCAAATTAAGAACCAAGGCAAACTATAATAAATTCTTTTCCAAATCAAAAGTTAGTAACCTGCCCAAAATATGACTATTTAAAAGCTTTCTAACTATTTAGGTAAAAATATGTTCTGGTGCTTCAACCATCTGTGTTACCTAAAAGATAGAATAATATGTCTTATACACAGGTATCAACTTGTGACAACATCATAGAATTAACAAAAGCATTTAAGAAATGTTAGCATGTTTAAAAATCACTGAGTTCTTTCTTGAAACTCTTCTTTATCGCTCTTGGTTTCAAGATTTATCATTTCAAGGCTTATTTTCTAACTGAATATGTTCCAAAGTTTGCTTTATTTTATAAAAAGATTTTGAGATAAATAATCAGTTCCCACATTATGA